CAAGAAGTACTTGTTTGAGGCCCAATCATTTCCGTTGCATCACTTCCGATGCATCATTTCCGTCCCAACCAGATCCGTGTGCAATTTCCGCTGAATTTGCCAATTTACTTCCAACCAACCAACCGCCGCTAAAGAAGTTTAACTTCAAATAAAAATTTTAAAATAATATTTCTCAGCCCCATAGAATTTGTCTTGATAACTTTTGATTTTGAAATTTTAGCAAAAGTCATTATAAACAATTTTATAGATTGAAAACGAAAAACAGGGAGCGCATGCAATACTCCTTGACTATTGTCAATTAAATCTACTATCCTTACATCTATTCCGTGTGTTGCAATATCCACTGAAGCAGCAGTTAATTTTTTCAAAATTTTTTATGAAGAAAATTATAAAAAATTATTAGAAAATTTCTCTACTCATACATATGTTCGGCTTCCCTTTGTTTTATTTTTCCAACGTCAAAAGCTGGACTTTTTGTTAAGTTGGTACAACAAAAAATGCGAAACACGTTTTCTGTCAGATAGCTAACATGGCGGATAAGAAGAAGTGAAACTACCTTCTAAAAATTATTGTATTATGATATCAACTATCATTGGAATCAAAGTTTGAAAAAGAAAGATAAGATGAACGAATGTCATTCCAAGTTTAACTAGGTGTGTTGATTTTTGAAATAAAAAATTGGGGCATAATGATTTTTTTTTGCAAAGAAATAAAAAGGGTGGGAAATCCCTCATAAGTACGGTAACCATCCGTTCTGTTTTTTGCAGGAACCTTCAAACCTGAAAAACTTGAAAATGTACTGATTTTTTTCAAGTGTTCTACATTTGGCCCGCATTTTATTCGTTATTTTAAAGTTATCGGACAATGGATGAATTTTTTCAAAAAAGTGTTTTTTGGTACTTTTCGTAGCTTTTCTTCAATATCTCATGAAAAAATCTCCCAATCAACGTAAGCGACTTACAGCTCGAAGGGTATTGATGTGCCTCTTACCAAAATATATAACTTGTGGCGACTTCAATGAAAATTATTAGTGCTACAGGCGACCATTTACATTTTGTCGTCAAAGTCGAAAAAGTGAGATTTTCAATCAAATACGCAGTTTCATTCCATTGTTTTTTTTTCATTATCCATTACAGTAAATTTTGAGCCAAAGATAATGAAAATCGGATTAGAAATGTAGATGCTATGGAGCGCAATCTGCACAAATTATATATTTTTGTAAACTCGTCGTTTACGTCGATTCATGACGTCGATTTTTGACAAATANGGGTATTTAATGTTCGGCTCCGCCCGAACTTAGACTTTCTTACTTGTTAAAGTTTAAAATGTATTACGAATTGAGAATCATAAATACTCTTTTGATATTTTTATACTACGTAAATATAAGTAGGCGATAGTCGATAACTTTTTTGTGCTTACTATATTCAGAGTTACCATAAACAAACTTTTCTGTGATATCTATTTATATATTACTATTTTTAGAGTTACCATAACACATTTTTTTGTGATATAAATATTATTTTCTAAATATCGATTCANCGAAAAAGTGAGATTTTCAATCAAATACGCAGTTTCATTCCATTGTTTTTTTTTCATTATCCATTACAGTAAATTTTGAGCCAAAGATAATGAAAATCGGATTAGAAATGTAGATGCTATGGAGCGCAATCTGCACAAATTATATATTTTTGTAAACTCGTCGTTTACGTCGATTCATGACGTCGATTTTTGACAAATACCTGCGAAAAGTACAAAAATCGAAAAAAGGGTATTGTTTTCGTTTTGAACGACTCAAAATTTGCCTATAAAATAATCTNTGTGCTTACTATATTCAGAGTTACCATAAACAAACTTTTCTGTGATATCTATTTATATATTACTATTTTTAGAGTTACCATAACACATTTTTTTGTGATATAAATATTATTTTCTAAATATCGATTCAATAAAAAAGGCTAGAAAAGGCCAAATGAAATTAAGAAATAGCTTAAAAAAAGCTAAAAGCTAAATCACTTATTTTGAGGCTAAATGCATTCAAAAAAAGCTAAATTTAGCCTGAAAAAGGCCGAAGTGGCAACACTGTTTGTAATCCTTGAAATAAACTAAATAAGAAACCAAATATTAAACTGTACTGATTTCTTCTTGCTTATTTGTTCGGCCCTGTTCATAATACACGTCCGCAAATTGCGATAACGATCCGAATTGTTTCAAATTTGGCATATTTAGTTGAAACTGGGAGGGACTTACAGTGTTACGCCCACTGACTGTGGCTGTATTTTTATGAGAGGCTGTTTTTCATGGCATTATATACTCTCCCTCCGAGGGGCGACAGCTACATATAATAAAAAACTTTGTTTATGTTTTATTTTTGATGTTGGTCGGAAACTGGGGTCGAGCCCGGGAACTGCGGAATGGTAGCGCACACTGCTGCATGCTCCTCCACTTGTGTGACAGCATCACGCACACCACAAATTGGGGAAGAAGCCCGGGCAAACCCGTATACAAATTTGTAAGCGCCAAATTCTTTTTTTACCTCACTGCACTGAGAGCAGAGAAAATTAAATATTTAAAATCCACAGCACACAGAGTGAAGCAGCTTAGAAATAATAAATAAATTAGGGGTATTCTCGAAGTCTTGCACGATACACGGATTGCATGAAATGCAAAAACACTATTCCTAATTTCGAAGAGTACGAGAGCACCCCATTGCAAAGTGGTAGCATGCATGGGTAGCAAGCAGCGAAATTGTGTATCAAATACAATAACAAGAGCCGGCAAAAAAATGAAGTGAGCGAGATGAGAGGAATGAGAGAAATATGTAGCAATTCCAACAACAAAACAACTAGCACAGGGACGCATTTATCTTGCTATGCTATTTTGCAAAATATATACATGAGGGCTATTCGCGATTCGGTGCATAAGAGCTGACAAATTTATGCAATTGCAGAAATATGCCATGGATTGTGAGCGACCTTTATTAAACTGTCATGGTAAAGCTTTTGCAAAACAATTTTTGTGCATCAGCTTTGGTTTTGTTTATGAATGCAATGCATAGCATTTTTATGCTATGGATTTTCGGTATTGCAAATTTGCCAAGCCATGACAAATGCAAATGCGTGTATTTTGTTTGTGTATTGCAAATAATTTGCAATACAAATTTGCAATGCAATGATGCTAGGCCATTTGCACCGGATCGCGAATAGCCCTA